CCAGCCTCACTGGGTTTCTAAGGTATGCAATCTCTAAACCTGGGTTCTAGCAGAAAGGTGTGAAGGTTAAGAGTGCTAGAATCTGAATTCTGGCTCTACCAATGACAACTGTGTGCAAGTAATGTAACCTCTCTGTGCCTCTGCTTCCTCATCTGTGAAACAGAGATAAGAGTAGTACTTATTTCATAGGGTTGTCCTGAGTGTTAAATGACATGAACCTTGTAAAACCCAATGGATGGTGAATGCTTAAGTGCTTACAAGTCCTCCCACCCCTAATGGTCCTGCTCTGATCACTCTCTAATCCTCAACTCACTAATCTGAAAAATGGGAGTGATAATGAGATGAGAAATGATTAAATGAGAAGATAAAAGTGTGTTATAAACAGTGTCAGACTACTCAATAAGCAAAGTAATCATGGGCTTATCTGTACTTATTTACTAATCTTTAGTGAACAATTTCACATTTTTTCACCACATCAAAGATTCTGCTTCTAGGTATGGCTGGCATCTGTCTGTCTCCCAACCCCACAGCACTTTCCTACAGAATCAAGCCTCTTTTCAGAGTTACAATCCCTGACAGGGACTCAGTAGCTAGAAAGCAAAGTAAGCGAGGGCTTATCTATAGTGAAACTGTTTACTACAAATTAGTAAGTAAGCACAAGTAAACCCGTGCTTACCTTGGTTACTGCATAATACGCCCCTGGTTATAATCTGTTGTTTATGTCAATGGTAGTTTGTTGCGGGTGTGTGTGTGTGGAGTGTTACACTCCATCCTTCAGACCCTGGGGACTGCAAGGCCCGCCTACCCAAAGCAATCTGCTCAGGAAGGAGTTTGCAATGACCACCTCTGGCCTGAAGAATTGTTCTCAGTGCTCAACCCACACCCCCAGAACTTTTCTCCTCAGGAGCAGGCCTGCAGGAAGCACTGGTGACCTGGGTAAGCTCACTGGAGTAGGAAGAGGTCCCCAAGTAGGGGCGGAGCCCTTGGGGCCTTGCGGCCGTGAATACCTCAGCTGCAGCTGTGGTTATTCCAGGAAAAAGGAAAAAGTTGTGGCACTGGATGCGTCCACTGGGCAGGAAGCCGGTTATCTCTGGGCTGGCTTCCGTCTCCGATAACTCGGGGCCGGGCTCGCCGGGCGGGACGCGCCCCTCCCAGGCGGAGCGCGCAGGGCAGTGGCCCCGAAATGGCCACTCCTGCTGCTGGGTGCGCGGGGGCCTGGGGCCGCACCCGGCCCCGCAAGAAATGTAGCGCGTTTCCTGCCAGGCCGGCTGGCGGTGGGCAGCCGCAAGACCCCAGCACCCGCCCGCGCCCCTCACTCCACTCTCCGCTTCCCGGCTTCCCCCCACCCCGCTCCCAGCGCTTACTCTGCAGACAGCGGGCTGCGGCGAGGCAGAGGGCGAAGAGTCCCAGGGAGATACCTCGGTTCTTCCTTCTCCGGTTTGGCAGAGGCCTCATGAGCAAGCCCAGGGCGGCACCGGCTGGGCATGGGCTCCGTGGGCGGCGCGGCGCTGGGCCCCGGCTCTGCGTTTGCCTGCTCTGTGGCTTCTGCGCCTATTCCTGCCCGCCCGCTCCTCTTCTTTCCTCCTGTCGGCTCCTGCAGGTTCGCTAGGGCCAGATGCAGACGAGCTCGTTGCACTGTGGTTGAACCAGTTCCCAAGGAGCGAACGAAACAGAAAAAGAGAGAGAGAGAGAAAAGAGAGACACAAATACACACACTTAGAAACAAATAATGGCAAATAATGAGCAGTTTCCTTCCGTTCACACCCAGTTCACTGGTATTGATTCAAGATTCAGCTGGATGCTGGGTGATTGCAGAAAACCCAAAACTGAACTGGTGAGTCGATTCCGACTCAGAGCGACCCTGTAAGACAGAGTAGAACTGCCTCATGGGGTTGCCAAAGCTGTACCGAAGCCGACTGCTACATCTTTCTCTTGCGGAGCGGCTGGAGCGTTCCAACTAAAGACCTTACAGTTTGCATCCGAGCGCTTTAACCACTGTGCCACCACGGAGGGAGGGAAAGTATGAGCTGTTGCCTGAGGACCTAGAAGGACCATCTAATGGTTTTATAAGCAACAGGGAAGCTTTAGGAAAATGGAATGACAGCCTGAGGTGAGGGGTGGGGAAACTCTGGGTGGAACCAATGGACAGTGATGCCATCCATCCAACCATTCATCCAAGAATTGTTTGCTGAGGGCCAATTTATTTGCATAGGGCTTGGCACATGGTAGCTATTCAGAGAACACTGGAAGCATGAATCTGAATACTGTGCTACGTCTTGGGGATACAGCTATGAACAGGACAGATTGGACACCTCTTCAGAAGTGTTAGTCAAGGAGTGGGAACAGAAACATGAACAATTGCTGAACAGTGTATATATTGCTATGATAATGAAGGCCCAGGATGCTTACAGCAGGAGTAATTAATTCTGGGGGAAAGAGGAAAGGAGTCAAGGATCAGTATTGGCCCAAGCTAGTCATGCAATTCTACTCTTCATTGTCAAACCCTTGCTGGTACTTAAAATACTGGTGGCATAGCTTCCAGAATCACAGCAACATGCAAGCCACCAAAGAACAAAGAAAGGTGATCCAGCAGAATGTGGAAATTACTGAACAATATCATATGCAAGTAAAATTTGCTGAAAATAATTAAAAAATGGTTGCAGCAGTGCATTTTGAACCAGAATCAGAAGAGGCTGTGGAATGAGGTATATCATTGCTGATGTCAGATGGATCTTTACTGAAAACAGAAAATACCAGAAAGATGTTTACCTGTGTTTTATGGACTATGCAAAGGCATGCAATTGTGTGGATCATAACAAATCATGGATAACGTTGCAAAAAATATAAATTCCAGAACACTTAATTATGCTTATGAGGAACCTGGACATAGACAAAGAGGCAGTTGTTCAGACAGAACAAGGGATTCTGCATCAGGATTGGAGGAAGACTCATTAACAATCTGCAATGACACAGCCTTGCTTGCTGAAAGTGAAGAGGACTTGAAACACTTACTGATGGAGATCAAAGACTACAGCCTTTAGGGTGGATTATGCCTCAACATAAAGAAAACAGAAATCCTCACAACTGGACCAATAAGCAACATCACGATAAATATAGAAAAGATTGAAGTGGTCAGGGATTTAATTTTATTTGCATCCACAGTTGATGCCTATGGTTGCAGCAGTCAAGAAATCAAATGACTTATTGCACTGGGACAATCTACTGCAAAAGACCTCTTTAAAGTATTAAAAAGCAAAGATGTCACTTTGAAGACTAAGGTGCACCTCACCCAAGCCATTGTCTTTTCAATAGCCTCATATGCATGTGAGAGCTGGGCAATGAATAAGGCAGACCACAGAAGAATTGATGCATTTGAATTATGGTGTTGGTAAAGAATATTGAATATACCATAGCCTACCAAAAGAACCAAGAGATCTGTCTTGGAGGAAGTATAGCTGGAATGCTCCTTAGAAGCAAGAATGGCTGGACTTCGTCTCTTGAACTTTGGACATGTTATCAGGAGGGACCAGTCCCTAGAGAAGGATATCATGCTTGATAAACTAGAGGGTCAGTGAAAAAGAGGAAGTGAGGTAGATTGACACACTGGCTGCCAACAATGGATTCAATGGCAATGATTATGAGGATGTTTCAGGACCAGGCAGTGTTTCATTCTGTTGTACATAGGATCGCTATGATTTGAAACTGACTTGACAGCACCTAACAACAACATCTTGACATGTTTCTGGCAAAGCTTTTGCTTTTCTGATAAAAGGAACAAGTAAAGCTGGGGTTACTCCTTTCCTTTTCTTCCTTACTTGAAGGCATTCATAATGTTTAGATCTAAGGCCATCATGGTTGTGTATGTGTGTGGTAAATATAGAGGTAAAAAAAATTTGCCATTTCTACAGTCCTCACATGTACAGTTCAGTGACATTAATTACATTGATCATATAGTTTAATCATCTTTCATATGGTAGCCATCCATGGAGTTACAAGGTTAAGGACAAAAGCCAATATATTAAATAAGGATGGTGAAGCAGAAAGTTGAGAAGATACAGAAAGAAGACCATGGTAGTTCAGCACACCTTCCTATTTCCCTTCTTCTAGTTTCTAAGGCGAACTTGCCAATATCACATGTTTCCATGTTTCTGGGAGGCTGACAAAGTGGTGCCCTGTTGACCTCTCCGCGGTAGGCTTATAACCAGACTGACTCGTCAGAAAACTTCCTTCCACAGCCAAGTGTTTGGTTTAGGGACGGAAAGATGGGTATGACAGAGTCTTCTCTGGGAATGGCATATGGCCACTGCTGGGATTGCTAAAACCAGAGGGTGTGACCTGGGGATAATGGTGTGCCATTTCACCTGTCACGTGAAGAGTTCCTGAATTTCTTCCAAGATGAAACAAACTGAGCTGTGAGGTGAGATGAGAGATAGAGCCCTAAAGCTATGGTTTGAGTTCTGGAGTTCTGCACCCTTGGTCTTGCAAGTTATATGAACAAATAAATCCCCTCTTTTTCCTCAGCAAATTTAAGTTCAATTTCTATGATATAAAATTGAAAAAATCGTAACTAAAACAAGTGGTCTTCTTGACACTTTTCTGGTTATGTGTTCCTAGGAAGGAATTCATGAATCACTTGCATTCATTTGCTTAGTCATCAAACATTTATCAAATCTACCCCATACCAGACAGTGTACTAGGCACTGGTACTCCAAAGATGAGTAAGTCATGGCCCTTAGAGCCTAAGAAACTCACAAACTAGTAGAGACAGAATGATACAAACTGAGAGAGGCCTCCAGGTACATGGCTCCTCTTAAAGAGGCCATGGTGATAGGAAACTGGCTCTTTGGCTCACTGTCTAGCACCTGGCACATGGTAGGTGTTTAATAACTATTTGCAAAATGAATACATAAATAAAAGAAGTTTAAGTCTGTGCGAGGAATGTTAGAGAGAAGAGGATTTTTATGACATAAAGAGCTGATAAAGGTTAGAGTGACTCAGTGATACTGGAAAACTCTCATCTTGCCTCTGGCCTTGAAGAAGTGACATAACCTCTTCTGACCTTTGAGGGCCTATACCAGTAATTGTAACCCTGGTTGCACATTAGGAAAAAACACCATGACCTGGGCTCCACTCCAGTTGAATTGAATCATTTTCTGGGGATGGGGGTGCCTTTTCTCCTTTTCTTGTGTTAAATTTGGCAGTGGTTTGTCAATTTGATTAATCTTTTCAAAGAACCAACTTCTAGTCTTGTTGATATTTTCTGTTGTGTTTCTATTTTCTGTTTCATTCTTTTCTACCTTAATCTTTATTATTTCTTTTCTTCTGGTGACTATAGGCTTTTTTGATGCTCTTTTTCTAATTGTTGAAGATGTTGGGTTAAGGTGTTGATTTTGGCTCTTCTTTTATGATGTGTGCATCTATTGCTTTAAATTACCCTCTGATCACTTCTTTTGCTGTGTCTCAAAGATTTTGATTCAAGGAATTTTTTAATTTCATTTTTTATTTCTTTTACTACTCAGTCATTTTTAAGGAGGGTGTTATTTAGTTTCCATTTGTTTGCTCTTTTTCCGTTGGTCTTCCTAGTTTGATTTCTAATTTTATAGCATTGTGATCTGAGAAGATGCTTTGCAGTGTTTCAATGTTTTTAAATTTTTGAGGATTGCTTAGTGGCTTAACATATGGTCCATCCTGGAGAATGTTCCATGTGCACTGAAAAAGAATGTGTATTTTGCTGTTGTTGGGTGGAGTGCTCTGTAGATGTCTGTAAGGTCAAGTAGGTTGATTGTATTGTTTAGTTCTTCTGCATCTTTGTTAAATTTCTTTCTAGTTGTTCTATCTCTTACTGAAAGTGGTGTATTAATGTCTCTTACTATTACTGTGGAGTCATCTATTTGTCTTTTCAATTTTGTTAAAGTCTGCTTTATGTATTTTGGGGCTCTTTCATTGGGTGCATAGATGTTTATTATGGTTATGTCCTCTTGTTCAATCGATCCTTTTATCATTATATAACATCCTTCCTTATCTCTTAGGAGCTCTGGTGGTGTGGCACCTAAGGCATTTGACTGCTAACCAGAAGACTGGTGGTTCAAACTCACCAGCCATTCCTCTGAATGAAGATTGGGCAATCTACTTCCATAGAGATGTACCTTGGAAACCCAAAGAGGGGTGGCTATGAGTTGAATAAACTCGATGGCAGTGAGAGTTCCTTATCTCTTATGGTTATTTTTGTCTTAAAGTCTGTTTTATCAGAAATTAATGTTGCCACTCCTGCCCTTTTTTGGTTGCCATTTGCTTGGTATATCTTTTTTCAACCTTTGATTTTTTGTCTATTTTTGTCTTTGTGCTTAAGGTGAGTCTCTTATAGACATCATATTGATGGGTCATGTTTTCTTATCCAGTCTGCAACTCTCCGTCTCTTGAGTGGTGCATTTAATCCATTAACATTCAGTGTAATT